AGGGAGGGAGGGAGGGAGGGTGAAGACAGGCATGATGCAGGGGTATATGTGTGCATTTATTTCCTGAATTTCTACAGGGAAACAGAAACTGACTGGGGCCCCAGCATACAGGGAGAGGGGTTTAACTCCTTCCCCCATTTAGCAGCTCAGAGGGATCCATTTCAGCGAATCCTTACAAAAGGGAACCCCCCCCCTTCTGTATTATGGCCCCTGTCTAAATTGAGTCCCTGGGGAGCTATTTTCAAGACAAAGTGTTGGGGAGGTCCTTTCATGGATATGCCTGCATCATGTTTGGTCTGATCCTGACTGATTCCATAGAAAGGCAACATCAGTAGGAAATAAATCCTACATGTACACTGCCATTTGACAATACTGTATTAAGTGTTGTCCAAGCAAATAATCAATGAATTCGTTAGGACAGAGTCTTTAATTATATTATAACCCTGATTAGGAAAAGGAGAAGACGTGGGGGACCAAGTCGTGTACCCAGTTTATAGGTATTATGGGCAGTATAAATAAAACTGTCTCCACTCTAAGTACATTTTCTTCATGATGGGATACCGACTCTTTGTATTACTGGAAATATACACCAGTCGGTACTGTTCATTAATATGGAACTGGTCAGGAGCATCAGAGGTTTTTAAAAAAAATTAAAATCCATCCCGCTTCCTGTCATTGCAGAAAAATCAATAGTCTAGGCTTGCTCAAGCTTCCGCGTTATGTAAGACATGCTGATGTTTTATTGAAGGCAGAGCCATTTACGACTTAATTACAGTGACCTCTCACTTTCCTTTACCCACCATTACTTCTGACTTGGAAGGGTGAGAAACCCATGTTCAGACCAAATCAGGTGCCAGTAGTCCAGTAACAAATTGTCTTTAATGTTAGCAAAACAGATTAGTCTGAAATAGATGTTTTGGGGGTGAGTGTGAGTGGGTTGGGGAAATTATGCTGATTATCTGACAATCTAACAGATATTTGCTGACAAACCAAAGCTACTAGACATTTGCTAAATGGACAAGACCCATTTAAGGTAAGGGCACATAAAGGAAATATTTTTTTTCCTTACCCATCAGTAAAGGAAACATCTCAGGTTTCACCCCTCTCTTGCATTTGCCACTTTTCTACAAAAATTGCCCATAGGAAAGTTGATTTTAGACTAGTTAAGCAAGTTAGATACATGCTATTGATAAGAAACACATCAATAGTAAAAGTCAGCAAAAGCAATATTCCTCTTCAGAAACTTACTTCATTAAAATCATCTGTGATTGGAAAGAAAACTTCAAAAATAAAACAATACAGAGAAAGGCAGCAAGGAATTCCAGAGTCTTTGAGTTCTACAGTAGGAAAGGCCCATCAATTTGTCCTCCACACATACGGAAACAGGGCAAATATGCAGCCATACTAATCCATTTTCTTTTTGCCAAAGATCTTGGTTTACGCCTATATCTGAGTTTACCTGCACCACAAAAAGTCAGTATATCTAATGATTCTGTAATTGCATATTTGCATGACAGTATTGTAAGGTGCCATCCTAGAAAAACATTTGTGGTCAAACCTTGCCTGTCACCCACCATGCATGGGAGTGGTGCAAAGTATTTCTTGTAATGAGACCTCCGCAAACTGTGGCCAACATACTGGAGGTCCTTGTCCATATGCATCTGTTCACCTTCTAAACACGTGAAGTTGTTGCTTAACACAAAACCAGACCACTGGTCTATCAAGGTCAGTATCGTCTGCTCTGCCTAGTGAAAATAAACAACAAAGGGGTGGTGGGGAGAAAAAGTTTCAACCCAGAACAAACCAGGTAACCAAAGAAGTCGAAAAAAGAAGAAAAACCTCATATATGGAAATATCAAGGTCAATTTTTGAAAAGCTAAAATTATATTAAATCCTGGAATTTTAAAATCGTGTGTAAAAATCCATCAACTTTGGTTACATATATAAGTACCTTCGCCTAGTATTTAAAAAAAACCCTCTTTGGTATAATTACACTTATACACAGGGGAATGTCACACGCTTACAAGCATTTTTCCTATGACCAAGTACAGTTATTGATAACATAAAATACATGTATACTACTTCTACGTGTCGTATCGCTATCTTCATGCTGTTAATATCTGCTGGCTTATATTTTCGCTTGTATTAATTAGTTTAGACACGTATGATTAAAATCACAAAACAGAGTCCTTGGAACACCCTCAGAAGAAGAATCCAGGAGCGCTGCCGTCCTCTTCACCTAACAATAAAACATGCTTTATTTTTGCATTTCCCTGCAGGGTACACCATTGCGAATGCAGCAGCCACCGTGGCAGCCACTCAGCTCAAGCAAGCTGTGACTCTAGGACAAGATCTGGCCACCTATGCAGCGTACGAAGCATATCCTGCATTTGCAGTAGCTACTCGCAGTGATGCATATGGAGCTTTTTAGAAATAACCCTGCTTTAAACAAAGCGGCATTTTGCCTTAGATTAGGCTGAGGTAGGGGACAGGAGCTGCTTCAAGCTAATAATTAGACAGACTCAGTGATTTTGAATTAATGATTGAGCAAATTTATTGATGGAAGGATAATTCTTCGCTGGTAGATTAGCAGTTTAGTTAGAATAAATAATGCTAAACACTGATAACTTTTTAAAGTGGCTTACAGTCATTTTATACTGAAAAGGAAATAACTATAACCTCGAAAAGAAAAAGAAAGCTTCTCAAATGCATCATGTGGGGCTTGTGTTTACAAATAATGATCCTTGATGGAAAATGTTCAGTAGTATTTTAAAGAGTGTGAAGGCATTTGGGCGTGTGTAACTATTACACCCAACAATTTCCTGGTGGCTGTGCATTTTATACAGTTATAAATTCTTTTTGAGGGTGTACCAGGAGTCACCAACAGCAACAGTGTGTCCTACCCATGATGTTTCCAATAGGTGCAGTCACCATTTTGGATTGTGGCCCTTGTCTACTAGAAGAGGCACAGTGAAAACCAGCCATTTCAAAGGTGCTAGCTCTTTTGAGACTCTCCATTCTTACCTTTAAAAGAAAAAAAGTGTTTCTGTCTCTCATGCTGGTAGGGGACAAAAAACTGAACATATGACCATAGTGTTTCAAAGGCAAATCAGTTGAACCCCCACAACATTCTTGTTCAGATACCTTATTTAGCTGATCTAATGGTTTTTCAGGGGCAGAGTAATTATTTTTGAAGTTGTTAGTGCCAAATGTACAATGTGAACACGCTGCTTGGTCCTAATCATCTTTACTCAGAAGTAAAACCCACTGTGTTCAATGAGTCTTAAGCCCACAACCTTATGCCATCGTCACAAGGGATTTTAAACTGGATGTATTTTTAACCATGTTTGTAAACCAAATGAAAATGCTACAGAGACTACATCTCTCAACTAAAACTAAACAGGAAAGTATCCCCTTAAAGACAGAACACTGTTTTGTGTCGCTGGTGCAGAAGAATACAGCATCCCCTCTAGTGTCTTCTGCTTTCTAATGTTTCTGTTGCTTTCCAGACTAAAAATGGGATCATATCATCACAAATGATTTGAAATGGATGATACGCTCATGGGCTTCAAAGGCGGCACAGTGTTTTCATTTGTTTGGGTTTTTAAAAAAAAAAATCCTAGCAGAACACAGCTCAAAGAAAAACCAGAACAATTTTTGATTATAGTAAAGAGTAAGCTTGGCTTTCGATACTGTTAAGCAGCAGCTATACTGAATGCAAGCAAGAGTAGCAACTCACACATCTGCTACCATTATTTATGTGTAACATGAGAATGGCTCAAAGATGAGCACATCTCTCTCCCTTGCTTTTTTCCAAAGCAGATTCCTGACAGATGTCATTCTATGACTGAATGCACAATTTTCCTTCAATTGTTAAAGACAATAGAAATAGAGTTTTTGGGGAAGAGAATCCTTAGGAACTCTGTAATGTCAGAGTGATTTTCCAGTTATAGCATAGACTATGCTTTATATTGCTTTACCAGCACAGATATTCTTGGCTATCATCTACATTCTGTTCTTGATAGTGAATAGTCTTATTGGTTGATTTGAACCTGCCATCTTTTTCCCCCCTAGGTGTCTATTTTTCAGCCTGTTCTAGAAAATTTCAGCTTTTAAGTAATCCTTTGCTAGTCTCCCATGCCAAAGATATCAATTACTGAAATAACCAACCAGTGTCTTTTTATATTAACTGTTCTATTAAAAAGTATCACTATCAATTGAATTTTAGAAGAGATCTGCAAAATGGCTACCGGGTAGCCAATATAGACCATAAAATTAATTCTGATGACCAGTTGGTAAAACCTTTAATGTCACACTTTTAAAAAATAAATAACGGGAAGGTACAGTGCCTCTTTTGAAAAGGTCAGGCTGCATTTTATGTTGAGGTCAGTGTCCAAAATCCCTTGGCATATGCACTATAAAACCAGCTCACCAACAGTGGCTACAGAAAGGATACACTTACTTTTCCTTCTGTGGAACAAAAGGTAGGAAAGCCAGGCCTTGCTGCTACTAGAAACAATGAGTGGCTTTTCAGGAACAGCAACAATTTTGGAACCCCTGACTTATAACCGGAGACTGACAGTGCATGGTCCTTCCTGACCAGTGTCTCTTTTATACGTCCATTTAAGCCCCTGTATTTCATTCCCTTTTGGAATTTAGTGTCACCACAGTGGAGGATCACTGTGCTTTCCGTAATGGGTATGTAACTTATTAAGAATCACCAATTTCCCCAAGTGCAGGGAATTGGATCAGTTTTATGAAGCATGCTAGAGAGCTTTCAATCGTATGCAACAGCAGACTACTTTCTGAAGCAAGATTCACTGGGTCATCTGATTATTTATTTGAATTTCATCCCAGTAGGAAATGAAATCTTTTATTGAACAGATTCCTCTGTAATCTCACCTAGGCACAGGGCTTGATCCAGAGTACAGAGGGTCTCCCAGAACCCAGTCTCTCCCCCCCCGCCCCACATACATTCAGTATGCACAAACACACAGGCATGAGAACACACCCAAGCACCCACATAATGCCAGGCATTTAGAGGGAAATGAACACTGATCCTACCATATTCTTTGGTTGTTGATCCGCTTGTCAGAGCTCCCCAGAATTACAGTAAAATTAAGGGAAATTACTGCTCCCCAGAATTACAGTAATATTAAGGAAAATTATTGCCATAGGGTGAATATTTTTCCTGGATTTTTATTTGTTGTGACTATCTATCCTCCCTTACTCCCCCTCTCTATTTATAAACAGTTAGCAGGTGCCAAAGACACATAAACAGTATTAAAAAACAAGCGTGCATATAAGCACTTATATTTTTTTTTGTATATGTGTGTATGTTTAGTAAGGTCTTTGTATAGAATTCCAGCACTGTGAACTTGTAGATGTTGTTTTATTTAGAGCAACAGTTTGTTTCGAAAAGACAGCATAAGTTTGCATCTCTTGAAGTGCGAATCGTGAATTAAGAAAAATCATTGGTAAAGCTGTTCTGCAAATCAAACAGTGATCAAATGACCTAAGAAATTATTAAACTTCTGAAACCTGATATACAAGTGTCATCTTCTTTTGCAGCTTTTGACCTGTCTGCTTTTGAAAAGAAACTAATTGTCTGTACACTTAATATCTACTGAGGTAATTCCATTTGCTTCTACTTTTGTGGTAACAATTTTATTGTTCTTCATAGATTTACAAACTAGTTTGTCTTCTCTGTACTCACACCAAGAATCACTAAAGTAGATATCGAAGGTTCTTTTCTGCCTGTCATGCATTGTATTAATTTATTCTGTCACAGCCTGACCCGTGCTGGCTTATGAAGCAAGTGTGTTAGTGAATTGACTTTGCTTTAAAAAATAATAATATAAGAATGTTTAAGGTCATACTAGTTATAGTTGTACTTATTGTAGAACAGATTTGAGTCAAACACATCCAATCATATTTGTGGTTTGGATAGGGAATCACTGCAGGGAAGAGAAACCTGGTACACTCTTGAGCACGTAGGCACAAATTGTTTTGCCCTTTGGGAAGATTTGAGCAATGCTTTGGGGATCTCATGACTTGCTTCCATGAAGCAAAAAGCCTTGCTTGGGTGGAAGGAACCTGGTTTCAGTGGAATAAGCACACTCCCTTTTTTTGTCATTATACAAGCTCTCCCTGGTTGTCACCCAGGGGCTGAACATGCTCCTGGAGATACTTTAATTAAAAAAGAACTTATGCCTTACTCTGAGTCAGACCATGGGTCTATCAAGGTCAGTATTGTCTACTCTGACTGGCAGAGGCTCTCCAGGGTTTCAGGCAGAGGAGTTTCACATCACCTCCTACCAGATCCTTTAAACTTCTGTATGCAAACCAGATTCTCTACCATTAAGCCATGACCCCTTCCCATGCCAGCTGAATGCCAAATATTGAATCTTGGACCCAATTAAGCTCAACGTATCTGGGGATGTGCTGCTGAAGGAACAACTGAATGCCTGTGTTTGGGAGGGGAAACAACTACAGATGCAATATTTATTGCAAGGCATAAATGAAGGTCCATCTAAATCAGCAATTGCCACATTTTTAATGGACACTCTGTAAAGCACTGATACACACTGGCACTTTCCCACCAGATACCAAACAGGCAAATAAAGCAATTAAGATAAATCGTGTCTATGGGCAAAGGTGGATGGAATTGTGTAAACTGTGCATTAAGCTGATCAAAATGAATTTGAATTATGCCACCTAGTGGAAGACAGGCATATTTTTCAAAAACAAATATTAGGGTTTAGCTCTTATAAAACTGTAAACCTAATTTAATAAGACTCCAGGTTCAGCTTCCAACAGGTTATTCCTGAGACCTGTTTCCATCAAGGATAAGCCTAAAAATCTGGTGCAGTTGTAACTAATATCTATAGGTACACTGAAGAGATTCAGAATTAGCTGTAGCTCTCTGTTCACTCCGTTGCAAACCTGGATTGGTTCTGAGAAATGTGTGAAAAGACTTGAGCGGACAATACTGCAGTTAGAAAGGTTAATGGACTGATTCATTGTAAGGCAGCTGTTTTCATAAATCATTATATTACAGATATAATGACACTGCCAAGGTAAGATTTTTCATAGAGAAATATAGCTCAAAAAGCTAGGCCTTCAAAGAAATACCCATTCCAGATGCTAATTCCATCCCACACACACATACCTTAGGAAAACGATGTCTCCAACTGCCATATTTTAATTATACATATTCTATTTTGCTGCACATCATTGAACAGTACTGAGGGTTCAAACAGGAGAATAGCCACAAAGGAGGTCCAGGAACAACAGATAAGCTAAAAGATGGGGGGGGGGTTGTTTCATGCAGGACCAGCTCAAGACATGAGGCTCAGCTGAGTCGATTTGGTAAACTGACTATTGTGTAATCCAGTCTAATTTATCAGGTTGTTATTAGGATAAATGGGA